TATATATATATATATTATGTAGCAAATGTCAGCTGACTGTTGTTTTTTTGTTTTTTGTTTTTTCATTGCAAAAAATGCAACTATATTATCACCCAGCTCTTTATTTAAAGTTGGTCACAGCATGTAAATGCTTTATACATGCATACATCCACATGCATGCTGTATACTCGTCGCCCTAGGGCGATAAATACTTAGCAAATCTCAACTGCTTGATTGCTTGTATCATTGCAAATTGTAAACTGTATTAGAACATTTTGTAAATGATATTAGAGCCCAGCTCTAATCTTCGAAATGCAACTGTACGGCATGAAAATATTCGAAACATCATGATTTTCTGTAACGCTGCTTTGAAACGGTATGTATTGTATGTATAAGCACTATATAAAGAAATTTTACTTTGACATTTGGGCGTTGTTGTACATTTTACATTTTATGCATTTGGCAGAGAGTGCATTCAAAGAATCTGAAATGATCTGTTTAATGATTTGCTTGCATTGCCCAGATCAGCTATAGAAGCTGTAATTTATTTATTTATTTTTGTAATTTATGTTTTCATATTCTGTGAGCAGAAGACCAAATCATCAACTGCCACTCAATACAGGTGTCCTTAATATTGACCTGGACGTCAGAAATTAGTTCATGTCTTTGTTACATGTCAGCTGAAGGCATGATTGCATAAAGAGGCTGGCAGGATTAGTCCTCTAAAACCATGCATTTGGTGTGGTTTCATAACTTTGTGCTTTGTCAATGCACCAGCTCAGAGGATGGCAATATAACACTCTTTTTCAAGTTGTCAAAGTCTTGTAACTTCCCTTCACAAATGTTCTCTGGCTCCCATAGACATGCATTGTCTTTTAAGTAGGGCTTAGAAGTTTGTTCTCCTCCTCTTACAGTGTTGTTGGGTTGCCATGTGGCAAGATGTTCTGTTCTCAAAGACTGAAACGGGTCTGTCTGGTTCTCTGAAATCACCAGCAGGCTCTCAGTAATCAGTACGATATTTTAAATGGACGATTGAATTGTTTCTGCACGGTCTAGTTTTGAATCAGTTGATGATTCATTTGTCAGTGTTTAGTGACAGGTGTTGTTAACTTTTATTACCAACAGGAACGATATAAAGCACTAAGAAAGAAACCAGGTCTTCTTGCGTGATGAGCCCTGACCCCTAGTTACAGTTTGAGAATGAACAATAGCCAAACAAAGTTCATCAAGGCCAGATGATTCCTGCTGGTCGTGATAGTTCACACCGTGGCCGCTGTCAGCAGTTTTAATTTCATGAATAATAATAAAAAAATCTTATATATAAAATTTATTTTTCCCCCTTTGATTTTGGGATGAAATGCTACCTGATGAAGTGTAATGTAGCTAAAATTCCAGAAAAGCATGACATTGCAGTCACTTATTTCCAATCATGATGCAGGAACCAGGAAGAGACCCAGTTAGTAACCAGGGCAGTGAGATGGAAAAGTGACCCAGAAGAATTCCCCTGGCATTCTCCCAGACTGCACCTCTGCATATCCGGAGACCGCTTTTTACTTTGAAGAACTCAACCCTGTGAGAAATCATTAAACTGAGCCATTCGGCCACTTCAGTAAAGATCCGATCAGGTTTGATCAGTAACCAGACTCTGTCCTTAATCACAGACTTGTCCTGACAGAGCTACAGAGGTGAAGTCTTTAGAGTGAAGGGTCATGCTGTCTGGGTTACCTGCTTTAAATTCACACAACATTGGTTCTGGGCATGGTAGCATTTTGGAAACCTACTGGCATGACATATTAGCAGGTACTAGCATCAGGAAACCTCATTTAAAGGCCGTGACCCAGACTGAAGAGATGATGCAGATCATGCTGTTTATTTACAACTCTGCATTTACATTTAGAAGACCTGTTTTTGCAATATGAGAATGATGAATGAGTTGTTTTTGGTATTTTGTATTTGGATCGGATTTTTTTTTGTGTGAAAAAATAGGTTTCATTTTCTTGAAGAAAAATATTATTTCTTATTTCTTTTGAAAAATGATCTGAGCATATTCTTGACTTGTGAATTCAGATTGTTCATGTCTTGGTCTTTGTTTTTGGCGTTTAGCTTGAAGTAACTCATACGGTAGAGGACAAGCAAGCGAGCAAGCCCTCTTTTCTTCTGTAGACTGTTAGACGGCGTTTGAAAATGTCAGATTATGGCCGCCCTCGATGCCTGCTCTCGTAGGAGAGAGGATGACATCATGGCTGGCTCATGCATTAGTGTTTCTGTGATCTAATGAGTGTCCTGGTTAAGGTTGCTTGAGTAATGCAGGGGAGATGGGTTCAGCCCCCTGGGACCTGAGCACAGACCATCTACTCTCAGTGAGTCTGGAGTCCGTCTGCGTCATTGTGATACTAACTGATTTTGCTGATGTCTCGCAGCATTAATTGATAAAAAAAAAAAGCTACATAGATTCAGGAATTATGCTAATTGGTGCCTTTGGTGTCTTCCTGTCACTCAAGTGAAAATCAATACAGTTTTGCTTTTGTGAGGTCAGGAGATTTAAAATTTGTAGCTACTACCAAGAGCTTGGTAATATTCAAAAATAAATTTGTGATGATTTTGCTTGTGATGACGTTAAGGACCCTCATAATAATTTTAATGCGTTTTTAATTCGCCTGTTTAGTTTCCTAGACATCAGATGATCCTCCATTGACAGATTTTTTTTTAATAGCGTCTATTTAGTTCATTTTAGTCAGTCGGTCTGAACTCTATTTCAGCGATTAGATTACTATTCAAAAATCTGATTCAAAGTAAATATGTTATGATTAAATTATTAAATATGATTATTTCTCATGTTTATAGTTTTCCTAAATCACTTTGGCTTCAGATCTCTGAGCAATGAATTACTTGTTCACATCAGATTTGAATTTCTTATTAATTTAGGCAAATTGCATGTGTTTTGGAAAGTACAATTAAGTGCAAAACAGTACAACTGCCTACAATTTTCACAATAACTCAGGCCCCGTCCACACGAACGTGGTTATTTTTAAAACCGCAGCTTTTTCTACGCGGTTAGGCTGTTCGTCCACACGCAAACGCAGCACCAGGTCACTGAAACCGAACATTTTTGAAAACGCCTGCCAGGGTGAAGATTTTCAAAAACACTGGTTGCAGTGTTATCGTGTAGACAGCGAAACCGGAGTTTTTGGCTTGTGACAGCGGAGCCTGCGCTGTTATCTCCGCCTACTGGAAACTTTTTCATGCTTCTGATTGGCCAACATGGCTTTACGGTTAAGATTATATCGCCACCTGTTGGTTTGGCATGCTCTTGACAGTGCTTCATAGCATGCGTTTGCGTTTTCATGTGGACGGAGATTTTTTTTTTAAACGGAAGAAGGAAAAACCATATTAATTGACGATCTAACCTGGTGCATTAAATCTCAGTTGAATCTTATCAACTTCTGAACATTCTTTCATCATGTGAGGCTGAGCCATCACATGCAAAATGATTCAATTATCAGACATACATAATGTATATTAAATAAATATCGTGGAATGTTTTCGGTTTACATGGAACACTGCATACAACTGTGCATATAATTTTTTTTTTTTTGAGTACTTTTTAGTATTGTAGTATTTTACTTACAGTTGACATCTGTATAGAAATAAGTTTGGAGAAAATGCATGAAAGTGGGAATATCATCAACATATTTTTTTCCTAAGTGATTAATGACTGATTAATGCACCGAATGAGCACCTTTGGTGGTGTTTACTGTGAGTAATGGATACATGTGCCTTGTGAATTCAGCTCATTCTGTGTCTCTGTTCTTCACAGCACCTGTTTCCTGATGGGCCCATTCAAACAGCTGAAGCGAATGTTTGAGCCCACCAGACTCATAGCCACTATTATGATGCTGGTAAGAAAGCCTCTGGCCCACCACACTGCGTCAGCACTGGAGAGCTAATGAGAAAAGACATTTTGCAAAGGCGAATTTAACCTTGTAGCAGAACAGTTGACTCATTCTTATTAGATGTTCTTTTTACCTTGTCATTATATTAGATAACAAAATGTCAAACCAAGTGTATTTAAGAAAATAACAATGCACAAGCATACTTTTCAAACAAACCATTTTATAAGATGTTCCTAGGGTGTAACACTATTATATATTTATTTATTTATGAATATGTGTGAATATCTCAGCATATTTTGACATCAATTAAACAAACAGAATACTGATACAGAATAGAGAATATAGATATATTATAGAGTTAAAATAATGCAAGAAAGACACTGTTGAGTGATACGAGACAATGAAACTAGCTTAGCTACATAGGCAACACATTACAGATATGCACATGCAGGCTAGCAGGGCAGAAGGAATGCTTCAGCCTTTTACAGTCACAAATCTGGATGCTCTTATACGAGGCATTAAGAGATTCAAAGGACTGCTGTTGTAATCCAGAAAAATCACAGTGGCTCTGTGTGACACTTTGCCATATAATCTGTTTTTGGTCTGAATCTGTTCACACTTGCTCCAGCACAACACAATTGGAAGCTTGTTGTAAGCAGACTATCAAATGATTGCTACATATTTCTATGCAGAAGTATGATGGGCACCTTCTTATGATGTTGTTTATGATTGCAGTTCTCATTCAAGTTTCAAAATATGAAAATAGAGCTATTTAATTACTCTGGATTACTGCCAACTATAAAGAGAATAATAGGTGTTTGACTCACTAATATCATATTATCTGGAGTAATCCCAGATTGTTTATCTCACCAACTGTTAATAGATTCATTGTTTCCACATTAATACAAGCATAAACATCTCTGAAAAATATTTTTCTATGCCATGGTTATTTGATCATGGTTTTTAACCTGTGTGTGCTTTTCCCCCAGCTATTCCTTGTGTTGACGTTATGTGCAGTGTTTTGGGTAAGCTTTCTTCATAACAGGTTTATTTCTGATATTTGGTTGACTGTTCACTTGAGAAAATGTAGGCTATATTATTCATATTTTATTTCTCTTTGTTGCCTTGCAGTGGGGCAAAAGGGGTCTGGCGATCATCTTCTGCATTTTGCAATTTTTGGCTATGACATGGTAAGTGATAGACTGTCGATCATCTTTAAAAAATATGCATTTGATTTGTTTTAGATAATAAAAAATGATTATTGTTTGAAACAAATCTTTTTTTATCTCTTTGTTAAAATGTTTATATTACTCGTCTCGGAGACTTCAGTTTTGTAGTTTGTTTATGTTTATAAAACAGATAGTTCCGGTCCTTGATTCTGATTGGCTGAGCCACGATTACATGTTAAAGATGGTTTCTAAAAGATTTTAAAGTATTTTTTTGTACTGGTAGTGTAATTGAAAGTAACTAGAAAAGGTTTTGTTTTTCAAAATAAACCAGCTTGGCAAAGCCTCAAATTAAAATTAAAAATAAAATAAAAATATTAAAGGGGTCATATGATGCGATTTCAATTTTTCCTTTCTCTTTGGAGTGTTACAAGCTCTTGGTGCATAAAGAAGATCTGTAAAGTTGCAAAGACTAAAGTCTCAAATCCAAAGAGATATTCTTTATAAAATTTCCGAGTCAGCCACATCTACCTAAAACGGCTCGTTCTAACACACCCCACATACCTACGTCACTATCTGGGAAGAGTTGCATAACGCCGCCCAAATAGTGACGTAGGTATGTGGGGGCGTGTTAGACGACGCGTTTCAGAAAGGCGGGGCATAGAGGAGAAACAGTAATGTACAGTATGTGGAAAATAATGTGTTTTTTGAACCTTAAACCACATAAACACATTTCATTACACCAAATACACAAAAGAATGTTCTTTTTAGCAGCATCATATGACCCCTTTAAATAAATAAATAAGGGAATGAATGAATGAATGAACGCATGACGTTTGAATGAAACATCGTACATGGATGGGTGGATAAAATTTCATTGAAAGTATGGAATTTAACGATTTTTGATACTCCATTGTTCAGAAAAACTAATCGTCTCCCCTATAATTACAGATTCTCTGATTTCTTATTTATTTATGTTCTTTCAAAAGTCAGCTTATGAATGAATACATTTAAATATAATTGTTTTAGTTATAACTGATTCTGTGCAAATCACATGTTTCATTTAGTTTGGCATTTGAATGTGACAATACGGTCATATGCAGAAGCCTAGCCTGCTGACCTTTCATCTAAAGATAAAGTTTCATTGTACCGGTGATATCATGATTTTAGTGTTTGTGTATCTGTTGAGTGTTTCATGAAGCTTATCCTGGAATTTAACTACTAGGCTAAATCACGCTAGCAGCTTAAAGACCTGAGCACGTTCTGTAGTGCTGTGCCCAGTGTACCTAAAACAAATTAGCAGCTTGTTCTGCTCTTCCCTGGAACCCTGCTGCATGAGCATCTACTAGTGTAGGCTGATCAGCTGTTAATTAAACCATGCGTGCAATTTGTCATCAATGTCTGGCTGCAGGTTTAGAGGCAGGTGGTTGAGTCCTTGGCAAGGTGAGAAAGTGGGCCAAAAATAGGCGCGTGATCGGAATGAGTGATGTGACTAATGAGAGGAGTGATTATATACTGTAGGTAGAATATTGTAGGTGTAACTGATGGAAGATGTTGATCATTAAGAATAAAGTTAGACATTCTGTCAAGAAACTAACAAGAAAAAATGCAAGCATTTTATAATTATTTTGCAGGCCAAAAAAAAAAAGCTTTTTATTGTCAGCAGTGTAGCGATGTATGAAGCACAATTCGCACAAAAGCCAAACCAGTCAGCTTTCTGTAGGTCATTGCAGTGAATCCATGTGAACAACTTTGAACTTGTGAACCTGTTGACTGTGGAAATCTTTTGTCCTTAAGCGAAATTCCCAATCATGTTGATGCTATTGAAATCACTGGATTTTGCTTGGAAAAATTTGCAAAATAGCGGAAAGTGTGACCATACCTTTAGGTTTAGGGATTTGAACAAACCCAAAACGCTATTAAACTTTGGCAAGTCAAGTCACCATTATTTATATAGCGCTTTTTACAATGCTTGTTGTGTCAAAGCAGCTTTAAGTATTAAACAGGGAAATAGTGTGTCGAAATAGTGTCGTTATGGAATGTAGGAGATGCTGTACCTAAAACACACAAACACACAGTGTTAATACCTAATGTCCCATTAAAAGCTTAGCAGATTCAAAAACAAAACAATCTGAAAATAAAGGAGTAAATCCATAAGTACGTCATAGATGCCAGTTACAGCTTGCTTTTAAAGTAATGAAATGACATAGTAGATGTGCTTTCCCTGTGAGTTCCAAGTGTCCAGGCTTTTATGCTCACCAATGCTACATTTATTTGACCAAAAGTACAGTTTAATAAAAAAAATGAACACTCAGGGTCTTCAGTGTTCTTTGATGAATAGAAAGTTAATATATTAGAAATAGAAATATTATGTATTTTAGTAATATTTTGTAACGTATAGCAAATAAATGTCACCTTTACTGTCACTTTTGATCAATTTAATGCATCCTTGCTATATAAAAACATTGATTTACATTTCATTTCTATATAAATAAATACAATTTATGCATTTATATATAAATTATATAAATAAACTCATAATAAGACACATAGATAGATAAATAGACAGACAGATAGAAAGTACAACAATAAAGAATATACAGTCTAAAATATGTCCTAAAATAAGCCCCATGTTTCTGCTGATTAAAAAACTGATTAGGGATTTCGTTACACACAACTGACTTCAAATGAAATGCTAATGCACTGACAGCTTCTCAGAAATGTCTAGCATCAAGGAATCCTCCCTACAGATTTCCCAGTATCCTCTTCATACATGCGGTTAAAGCGGTTGCCAGAGTGACTGCTGTCAGAGGAAGGCTGGCGGTGGTCTGTGTCACAGTGTGAAGGAAGAGAATGTCCTCACAGTGAAACTGACGGCAATTACATGGCCAATAAAATCTGGCCCATTGACGTGTGAAAAACTGGGCAGCCAGGAGCACTCAAACGGCCATCCTCACTCTCTCACACTCACACACACACACTCACACACACACACACGCGCACACACACACACAGTGTGTTTCCTCTCTGTTCCTCTGACTATCTATCATACCAGAAATGCTGTGTAAAATATAACATAACCTTCAAAGTTTAAGGCCTATTGAAACTTTTCTTGAACTTTCAGGCATAGCTTTGTCAAAGCAACATCCAAAGTATGTTTTGAATAACTTTTCTAGTTCTAACAGAGAGAAACCATGTGTGTGGAATGCATATAAAGTTAAGAGATTTAGGTTTAATGTAGCAAATAAAAATCACACAAACGCACAACATTCCTCTCTCGTCTCGTGGAGTTTGTTTCAGAGTAGTGAAGCGGTGAGCCTCGTCCACCTGGTTCTACACCTGTGTGCTGCTCGTGGCCAAGTGAAGGGGTCAGGACACGCTTAGAGGATCAGATTATTTCTGCTGCCCAGTTCCACTTAGCTGCTTTAGTGGCATGGGAATACTGCCCATCTGCCCGTCTCTCTCTACCTATCATTCTTGGGCAGTGAGCAACCTTTAACAGCTCCCTCCTGTAAGTCAAAGCGTGAACAAACTTGCAGTTGAAAAAAAATATATGTTGAAATGGATGTGGTTGCTAGGGTAGTTTCTCTATTATAGTCTATAGATACTCCTGCAGTATAGGTCTACAATTTTTTTTTTTTCACCTGCTTCAACATCCAGCAGATGAAAATCGTTTGATTGCTTAGAACAGAAATAGCACAATCATCACAATTTTAAGGCATCATTTAATTTCTTGAAGACTGAATGACATCCCTGAATGTCAGCGGAGACCATGTCAACTAGATGTGCCCCAGAGACAGATCCCTTCCAAAGACCACGTCATCTAGACGGCCATCATAACAAGACCACGGGAACAAGATGAGTCATCTGCACAATCTGACTTTAAAAGGGTTAGTTCACCCAAAAATGAAAATTCTGTCATTAATTACTCACCCTCGTGTGCACTGTAAAAAGCTCTATATAAATAATGGTGACTTGACTTGCCAAAGTTTAATAGCGTTTTGGGTTTGTTCAAATCCCTAAACCTAAAGGTATGGTCACATTTTCCGCTATTTTGCAAATTCTTGCAAGCAAAATCCAGTGATTTCAATAGCATCAACATGATTGGGAATTTCGCATAAGGACAAAAGATTTCCACAGTCAACGGGTTCAAGTTGTTCACATGGATTCACCGCAATGACCTACAGAAAGCTGACTGGTTTGACTTTTGTGCGAACTGTGCTTCATACATTGCTACACTGCTGACAATAAAAAGCTTTTTTTTTTCAGATTGTTTTGTTTTTGAATCGGCTAAGCTTTTAATGGGACATTAGGTATTAACCCTGTGTGTTTGTGTGTTTTTAGGTACAGCATCTCCTACATTCCATTTGCACGGTAAGTAAACACCTCCTCACATGTGTTCTTCAAAATTGATTTGATTTTGACTACATTTTATTTAAAATCTTTAGTAAAATTTTGTGCATTTTATTATTATTTAGATAATGGCTTATCAAATCATATTTGAGTGATATTTCATGTCGATGTTGTAAAATATGGCAATGAGAGGCAGTTCATTCCAATGATTTTAGCACAATGAAGTGTGCAATGTTGCCTGGCAACTGTAAAAGTTCTACAGGAAAAAAAAAGTTTAACAGAAACAGTATTTACACTGTTATCGTAGTCCTGCAGCTAGTTAAGTCTGATGGTGTGGCCTAGGTGGTATGGGCTCTACCTGTCATGTGCGACACCAAAGTTAACCGTATGATGAGTCAGCCAAACTAGGTTAGCTCACACGCCAGTTTAAATCCCAGTTAACTTCGGTGGAAGTTAGAAGTTTGTCTCCAAATGGCAGCGTGTCAGACAGTGACACCGTCTCTCTCAGTTCATGTTTGTTGGGTGGGATTGGGTTGTGTACACATGGGGAGCTGAACTGCCTGAATGAAAACATGTTGTTATTTACTCATGGCCTTGCGGCTGTTGGCCTTCACCATATGGCACTAATCCCCTGCTGGAGCGCCGCTCTCCCGGTGCCATGCAGACGGCTGCTTGTTTTTCCACTGCAATCATGAGCTCAGTAAAGTTCTTTATCTACCTTAACAAAGACGTTTAAAGGGGTCATATGATGCGATTTCAAGTTTTCCTTTCTCTTTGGAGTGTTACAAGCTGATTGTGCATAGATAAGATCCCTGAAGTTGCAAAGACTAAAGTCTCAAAACCAAAGAGATATTCTTTATCAAAAATAATGATCTTTAAAAAAGAATCATATGACCCCTTTAAAAGTTATTTTGCTTATCCATATCTGTTTCTTTGTTTGGGCTTATTGTGGCAACCTACACTCTCAGGAAAAAAGCTGCCACTGGGGTGGTAACTTTCAAAAGGTATACTTTAGGTAGCTTTTAGGTACTAATATGTACCTTTACTGTACCAATATGGAAACTTTAGGTACAAAGGTGTACCTTGTGAAAAGGTACCGCAACAGTGACAGCTTTTGTTTTTTTTTTGAGAGTATACCGAGACGAAAGAATGTATGCTCTTACCTGTTGAAAGTTTGTTATATCTTGGATAGACAATGTTAGTTAAGATGCAGTTAAAGATTATTATCAATCCTTTATAAATCTTTTTTATAAGCATGTATGTCATGACTCCTAAAAGGGAGTCATAAAATTAGGGAATAGTTCATCCAAACTGCAAATTCTGTCATGGCTTGCTTGCTTTCATTACTTTGTTTTTTTCTGTGGAGCACTAAGAGAAGAAATTTGGAAAAATGTTTGTGCTGCTCTTTTCCATACAATGGAGTGAATAGGCTGCAAAAAGCTCCAAAACAGACGGAATAAAAGTACCATCATTGAACTGTTAGGGGTGCTGTATGTTATCCTTTTTGACTGCACTAAAGAATAAAAATCCTGTAATATGTTTGTGGATATTTAGAAAACATGCCAAGTTCACATGCTTGTTTTTCCTGGAAAACGATGCTACAGCCAGTTCTACTTTAAAATTTGCGTTCCATGTTGGAATGTCTGTTTTTATTTTGGTCTGTGTGATTCCACCCACTGCCAATTTACCCAATAGTATTTCAACACCCTGGGATGCCAGATGGTGGAAAACACAGTGTATTGTAGCCATGGAATCCAGCAAACAAACTGGGTAACCGATCGCAGGTTCTACCCTAAAAATAAACTTCTATGGCATACCATACAGTATAAAGCCCCGTTCACACCAAGAATGATAACTATAAAGATAACGATATTAGCAACTACACCAGCGAACGATATCGTCTGTTTATTCTCAGCGCATGCTCGTCTGCCGCTTTAAATTCTCGAGCTTGTGTCTCATTGTATCGTTCATCAGCTGAAAAGGATTCCAATGATATCGTTTCTCTGTGCCTTTATCATTATAGTTGTAGTGTGGACTCTGCTATTCTTTAATATTGAGATAGATTTTTAGAACTATATATTTATCGTTATCTTTATAGTTATCGTCCTTGGTGTGAATGGGGCTTATGTCCTCAATATGGCAACCCACGTGAGAGTCGAGTCGGATGAGGAGGGGCGGGAGAAACAACTCTCTCCAATATTTTGTATTTGGACAATAGTGCAACTTCAGTGGAGAGGAAGGTTATCAGTGTGTAATTAATTTTGGTCTGATTATCAAAAAAAATGAAAAGAGCAGCATGGACATTCTGCAAAATTTCCTATTTTGTGTTCCATTCAATGCCATGAGAGTGAGTAAATTACAAAAGAAAGCAACAAGAAGAATAATGTGGTGTAGAAAACTGCAAGTGAAAATCATTAAAAGGGGTGGTGCAACACATTAACGTAAAATATAGCCTGTGGTAACACTCTATAAACTAAACAAAAGGCATCGTAAACAACTTACAACACACAAAGTATTCAAGGGGCTTTGACTGGAATGTCGAGCATCATTGGATTTCTAAATAGAAAATAATCTTTATAACATATTGCATCTCTTGCTGAACCCGACAACCCCCTCCTTTCCTGCCAGAGGTGCTGGTGCATGTTTCTGATGGATTCTGACAGCCTGGATGCCCCATCCCCCCAACCTTACGCCCTGCCTGCTTCAGAAAACAATTCCTCCTCAATGATTGCCTCTGTATTCCACCTGCTGCTTTACTTTCATTCGAAGACCAAACCCTTGACTCATCTTTCCATTTATCTGTAGATGGTTCATCTGTAGATGCCCCTCTCACCATTGTTTCATTGATGATTGTTTTCCTAGAAATAGCCGCACCCTTTGACAAGCTCAGTAATGCTGTTGTTGAGTGGCTGGGAATCATGGGTTAGGGCTCTTTTCATTGTGTTTTTGCTGGATTAGCATGAGCAGGCTCCACGTCATGAGCTGTTTATCCCACTGATCTCTGTTTTGAACATTGGGCTGTGCGTATGTTTTTTCATGAGCATGCTGCATATCTAATATCGTGATGATTTTAATGCGCTTTTTATTTGGCCATTAGGATTCTTAAAGACCACGTCATTAGATTAGATTCACTGTTCTTTGTCTCTCGAGTATGAGAGTGTTAAGATGTTTACATAGTGATTTAAAGAGTTCACCCACATCTTGTTTGAATTCTGTATGACTTTGTTCTGTGAAACAAAAAAAGGAGTTTCTTGAGTTCTTTATTTGATGTATAATGAAAGTTTGGATCACAACAATCTTCTAAATATCTTTGTGTGTGTGTGTGTGTGTGTGTTTCACAGTACAAATTATAGGTTCGATTCATTTCCATGTACAGTTTTGAAATGGACGATTCTCTTCAGTTGATTCAAAACTATTTTTAATAAATACAGTGGTGGCCAAAATTATTAGAACACTAGTATTTTTACCAGCTAAAAATGGTTTTAAGTCAGTTATTTCTATCTCTTGCTGTAGTGTCAGTAGGAAAGAATGGGGCTTATGTCCTCAATATGGCAACCCACGTGAGAGTCGAGTCGGATGAGGAGGGGCGGGAGAAACAACTCTCTCCAATATTTTGTATTTGGACAATAGTGCAACTTCAGTGGAGAGGAAGGTTATCAGTGTGTAATTAATTTTGGTCTGATTATCAAAAAAAATGAAAAGAGCAGCATGGACATTCTGCAAAATTTCCTATTTTGTGTTCCATTCAATGCCATGAGAGTGAGTAAATTACAAAAGAAAGCAACAAGAAGAATAATGTGGTGTAGAAAACTGCAAGTGAAAATCATTAAAAGGGGTGGTGCAACACATTAACGTAAAATATAGCCTGTGGTAACACTCTATAAACTAAACAAAAGGCATCGTAAACAACTTACAACACACAAAGTATTCAAGGGGCTTTGACTGGAATGTCGAGCATCATTGGATTTCTAAATAGAAAATAATCTTTATAACATATTGCATCTCTTGCTGAACCCGACAACCCCCTCCTTTCCTGCCAGAGGTGCTGGTGCATGTTTCTGATGGATTCTGACAGCCTGGATGCCCCATCCCCCCAACCTTACGCCCTGCCTGCTTCAGAAAACAATTCCTCCTCAATGATTGCCTCTGTATTCCACCTGCTGCTTTACTTTCATTCGAAGACCAAACCCTTGACTCATCTTTCCATTTATCTGTAGATGGTTCATCTGTAGATGCCCCTCTCACCATTGTTTCATTGATGATTGTTTTCCTAGAAATAGCCGCACCCTTTGACAAGCTCAGTAATGCTGTTGTTGAGTGGCTGGGAATCATGGGTTAGGGCTCTTTTCATTGTGTTTTTGCTGGATTAGCATGAGCAGGCTCCACGTCATGAGCTGTTTATCCCACTGATCTCTGTTTTGAACATTGGGCTGTGCGTATGTTTTTTCATGAGCATGCTGCATATCTAATATCGTGATGATTTTAATGCGCTTTTTATTTGGCCATTAGGATTCTTAAAGACCACGTCATTAGATTAGATTCACTGTTCTTTGTCTCTCGAGTATGAGAGTGTTAAGATGTTTACATAGTGATTTAAAGAGTTCACCCACATCTTGTTTGAATTCTGTATGACTTTGTTCTGTGAAACAAAAAAAGGAGTTTCTTGAGTTCTTTATTTGATGTATAATGAAAGTTTGGATCACAACAATCTTCTAAATATCTTTGTGTGTGTGTGTGTGTGTGTGTTTCACAGTACAAATTATAGGTTCGATTCATTTCCATGTACAGTTTTGAAATGGACGATTCTCTTCAGTTGATTCAAAACTATTTTTAATAAATACAGTGGTGGCCAAAATTATTAGAACACTAGTATTTTTACCAGCTAAAAATGGTTTTAAGTCAGTTATTTCTATCTCTTGCTGTAGTGTCAGTAGGAAATATCAGTTTACATTTCCAAACATTCAGTTTTGCCATTAATTGTAATAATCCATTGAGATTTTTGTTTGCACAAGGAGTCTGAT